CCCCCGCGCCCCCGCCGCCGGCCCGCCCCCCCCCCCGTCCCGCGCCTATCGTCGCCATATAGCATGCCGCTGACGCCCGTCGTCGCGCTCCTCGAGAAGACGATCGCAGTCCCGCCTGCCCGTCGCTCGGTACTCTAGGGACTCGCCGCCAACTGCCTCGAGATGCTCCCAATGAGTGCCGACCTTTGCTCCTCGACCTGCGAGCAGCAGCAGCAGCAGCAGCAGCAGCAGCAGCTTCAGCCGCGGGAGCAAAGTTGCAATGCAGCTGATTTGTGCAAAGAGAGCGAGAGGATCTGCACTGAAAGTGAGACTTTTTGCATTCTTGGTCAGTTCGAGAAACTGTACAAGAATCGCCTCGCCGAGGTTGAGGCCGGTGGTGCTGATGCCACGAGCGCCCAGATTACCGAGGTACGTTGTTTCGCCTTTTTGTTTATTTACGTTTTCGGCCCCAACAAGTGCACTCACTTGCAAACGAGGGGACACATGAACTTTCAGTTGATTTTTCTACACTTTCATACGACCCTTAAGCTTAAGAGCATTCATTTTCATAATTCTGTGGTTGACAATTGTTTTGATGTTTATTATGCCTGCGTTGGTCTATTGGCAGTATTGTCACATTATTAGCCGAGGTCTTATGTACCGATGGCCAAATAATGCCTGTCTACCGTAGACGATTGTTTATTAGATCAGTGTTAAGTAACCGTGGCCTACAAGCGATATTTCTATACTAATTTAAGTCCCCGGATGTATGCACATTTCCATATGTGTTCTATTATTTGCACTTGGGCCGTTGGGATGATTTAATCATAACAAAACAATAAATACTTAATTGCATCTCAATGACTCAAAACATTATCGAACCAATATGCTCTTTATCCGTATCCATGATTGACAAAAAAATGCTAACCTGAATTTCAAAAAGGAACTTTGATGTTAATTACCATTAAGTTAAAAGTTAAATTAACAAATTGGATATTACGATGGAAAAATGTGTACGTCTTGCAATGGAATTATGTGTAATTTTCCATTCTTTGTTAGTTAAATAATAATACAACTGGGCTCTCAAAAGATTATTTATACAAATATTCATAAATTTATCTATTGTTTCTGTCGATGCTTACACTTTATGATAAAACGCTACTTTTTATGCCCCTCCATTCCCCCACCCCCCCCTCCCTACCTACCAACACTTTATGTTAATAGTTTTATAGTAAATTTTATCAAACGTCAATTGGTTATTGACCTATATATTTGGTACTTTTCTAGAGCATAATTATGTCTATGGGTGTCATGAACTTTAACCATAGATAGTATTCGCTAAAAATAGACTACTTAAAGATTTAAATAGAATTGATGTTGTGGTGGGGCTTTTTAGATTCATATAACAGTTGTACTATGAACAGTTTAACTTTGCTTAAATTTTACTTCTTAATTACAGTTGAAATTGAAAATCATGACAGACTGGGTCGAGGATTTGGGAGAACAAAATAAAATGCTAATAAGAACTGTCCACGAGCTTGAACAGGCAGCTATTTCTAGAGTAAAATTGTTAGAAAATAAATTACAAGAAACTTCAACTTTAATATCACAGAATATGTCACATTCAGATAAATCAGAAGAGGCAAGTAAAATTTAGCCATAAATAATATTATGAAAATTTTTATATAATTTTATATTGATAAGTAATTGTATAAGTAATGAATAGTACGAGTGAGTTATTTTGTTAAAGACGCATCTCATAATCAATTGATATAAATGAAATGCAAAAATTAAGTAACGAATAATTTAAAATTTTCATCGCCAAATAATTGTAAAATAAACTTTTCATTTTTCAATCATGTCTCTCCATGTATCGCCATTGAAGTTACATAAAATTTTTTTGTCATTATCCGCAGGATCTTAATGCTCTATCTCATCGAACTAGTAAGCTGTTACACGATCAAAATGACATGCAAGAGAAGATCGATTATTTACAAAATGATGTCAGAAATTTACTTAAACTCATCAAACGCGGTCGCGAAGAAAATAATTGGAATTTGGATGGAATGAAATTTTGTTCGATACAGCCTTCGGATATTCCAGCACCAATGAAGTAACTTTTTCATTATATAGCCATAAACTTAAATATAATTCTTTATATAATTTAAAATTTATTTTTTTAGCTGTTCGTGTTGCCAGGTAAAATAATATTTTTATATAGGAAAGAAATTGTAGAAAATTCGTTGTGGAAAAATTTAGTTATAGAATATAATTTCTTTAAAGTACTTGCAAATTAATTGATCAAAAGTTCATGTAAATTCGATGATTTCATTGAGTCGTGTAACAGAAAAAAAGGAATTATTTCCTTGCTCGTCAATTCCTGCATTGTGCTTCATTTAAAATCATTTTCATCCAATCAACGCTGATTTATAGTAATGAAAATCATTTATTTGCAAAAGTCAATTAGAAAAAAAATTAATGTGGACAACTTGATTTTAATAGTTTAATAATAAACGTAATGTTACTTATTTTTATATGTCAATAATTTTTAATAGAAATTTTAAAGCAGAATTCTTTAATTATGAAAAATAAATAATTAAGTAAAGATTTTTCAAAACTAGATTTGTATTCCTTAGCTATTAAATGAGATATAATAAGAGAGATAAAAAATTAATCAATATAAAATATAGCATTTCGAGTAATTTTATATAGATAAAATTTATATTATAAATTTTATTTGAGAAACCATGCTTATTACATTTTATCAAGCATGCAAATTAAACTTAATGTATTTTAAGCTATTTATAAGTAATCTATACAAGTTGTAATGTAAAATGACAATTATGCTTATATATTTACTAATAAATACCAAATCGAGGTCCTTAATTAAAACAGAAATATTTTTTTTTCTCTTTTTCTCTTTTTTTTTTTTCTTTTTTTCTTTTTTTTTTTTTTTTTTTTTTTTTTCCTTTTCATCAAAAAAGTAATGTAACAATCAATAATATTTATTAACTACTTTCAAGAAATTATATTGCTGTTCAGTTCACCAGTATATCTAATAACGAGGAAAAAGCATTATTAGTTGAGAAACTTTGCTATGAACTGCATATCACTAAATAAAGCAATGATATCTTAAGTTAAAAGATAAAGATAAATTTGAAGTAAATAGTCTTTTACTGAAAAGCGATGAAAAGTACAGAGAAAGAAAAACTTCTCGCATGTCTTTTACTTTTACTATAAAGTTTGTGCATTCATTTATTAAATTACCTTCTATTATTCTTATTAATCATGACTTTGACCATTTTATAATTATAATTTTGTTTATCAGGACAATAATATTACAGAAGTTAATCAGGACTCTTTCTCGTTAACTAAAGAAGTAGTACAGAAGAACAATTTAATATTTGATTTAAAAAATATAATTGTAAATCATGAAAAAACAATCGAAGATTTAATGGAGAATTGTCGTATTAAAAGCTACATAATTTGCGAATTAAAAGATAAATTAAAACACGAATTAAAAAAAAACGATGATAAAGTAAGTGAATTAACTACAAATAACTATTATTTTCTTCGAAATTGAAAAGCTTGTATGAACTTTAAATATAAACGTTTATTTATTTTATGGAATTATTGCTGCTTTCATTAAATAAATAAATGCACGTAAAATATATTATTATTTTATATTAAGCTCTTCAATTAACGCTTACATGATGTTAAACAAAATCATTGACGGATTTTTTCTACATTTTTACAATTTTTTTAGTTGCATTTTTTAAAGACTGCAAACGTTAACTGCACGGAACCGTTGTCTTCTATTTCTGATAATTTGTGTAACAAATTTGACAAAGACGAAAGTACAATTTTTGATTCTATTTGTAATGAACCTCGTAAGATGTGTGAGAAACGTTATCCAAAATTATCCAAATTATATCAGCATGCCAGATGTCATAATAAGTCTAATAAAAAGTCTATGGATTGTAATAAAATAATAAAGCATAAACTACTCGATGCCACTATTTTACAATGTATTAAATAGAAATCGATTTCCTCTTTATGAGAAAATGAAAATTCACGATATTACTGTACATAAAATACTGTTGTTCTTTCTTGTTTAAGCAATTAAATTATTATTGATTACTGATTCTTAGAACATGGCTTTGAATATTTCTCTAGTTCTAATCAAATAAAACGATTTTTTTCTCTATACGCTTCTTTTTTCATTTAAACAGCATATTATGTTTATAAGGACCTCGATTATTATATTATATTTATTATATTACTATTATTGGCTTATATAATTAATATATTAGCTTAATTGTCTTAATCTCAATTTTTATCGATGGATTATAGTTACTAAATAACGAATGATTTTCACATTTATAGGCTTCAACAACTACTAAAAAAGTAAGAATTAACACCGAAAATTATGAAAAAGTGAGGATTAAATATTAAATATCAAATGGTTCATGATATAATTGTATTCGTTAATTACAATTAAGGAGATTTACAATTCTATAAACATTCATTTAATCGATTATTCACTTAATCACGGATTTTCAATTTTATGAATATATTATTAACAATATTAAAAATATTAAATTTTCCTTCAAGGTATTCTGATGTTGTTTATTATCAATTGTAAATTAAAGTGGCAAATAGTAAATGATCTATCTCCTTAATGTAATGCTGTTTTGTAATAAACAAGTAGTTGTGTGTTACATTTAAAACTATTGTATTCGTATATTTATATAATTAAAATTATTTAACAGTTGGACGATCCAGCTGCAGCTAGTTTAATCGACGTGTCTACGCAACAAATCGATGAATACGAAAGGTTATTGGCTTTAAAAGACAACGAAATTAGGAAACTTAAAACAATAATCAATGAGAAATGTATTGAAACAGTTAATAGAACGGTAAGAAGAATTATCCTTATTAATTATCCTTATTGTTGAATTGAAAAGCCTTAATTTTTAATAATATTTGATAATAAAAGAATTATATTTATTTAGGATAAAAATTCGTCGTTTAATGTGACTCAAGAAGAACAGGTAAAAAATAAAAAATAAATGCTATTGAATTAATATGGTACATTGACTTTTGTTAATAATCATCAATATTTTGTAGAATCAAGCTCGGTCAGACTCTGGGGACGTAGCAGATTTACTAGACAAAGATTATATTCTTAATCTTAAGATTGAAAATGAAACTATATTAGAACAATTAAAAAATATACAGGCAAATATTTATTTGATTAAATAATTAAAAATGTATGCTTGTATTTAATAGTTACATATCTTTCCTATTGTAGAATATGCATGAAATGGAAGTAGCCGTAGCAAATGAAAAATTACAAGATCTAAAAGATTACCTATGCAATTACAAAAGCAGTGTTATAGAACAAGTAAGTCGGTTAATAAAAATAAATGATTATTTAAAATCTTTCGAATTTGTTAAATAAATTATTGAATGCGGTTGTTGAATTATAATTATAATTGAATTATAATTTTTGCCATAAGAATGTTAATAATATTTCGAAGATATGAGAGATTTTAAATTAACGATTTTGTTAAAATTAATTCTTATCTATAGAAAATGAATACTAAAATAAATTAAATCTCTTATGAGCACAATTTATTAGTATTTTCATTTTTTATGATTTTTGAAATTCAGAAGTTTTTCTTATGGAATTATTTTGTTTCAGAATATACGTAAAATTACAAATGAATTTATTGGAGATATCGAAACTAAAGTAATTTATATTCAAAATCTTTTTCAAAATAAGTGTGAGGTTAGTTTGATAATTATTATACATTAGTATATTTAGTATTTAATTTATGTAATAACATAATATTACATATTGATTTATATATTCATTTAGATGTGCGCGAAGGAAAATTCACTCTCAGAAATCAAAGAAATTGTGTTAAAAGTATCATCTGGTATTTGCATACTTTCAGAAATTTATGAAAATAAAAGCAAAATATTATCTAAAAATATGGTATTATTAGCTTTTCAATTAAATTTATAAAGTAATTACATTTTATATATAATTATTTCTAATATATTTTACAGGTTGCAAAAAAAGATACATTGAATATTAAAAATAAAACAACGGAGCTGGAAGAGAAAGCGGTATGTTACGATACTTATGAAAATAATGAAAATGTAAGTAATTAATGTAGTGTTCGTTATACATTTAATTTTTAGATCTTTATGGCTATTGTACAACAATTTCGTATGATGGAAGAATTTCGAATATGTACCGTTGAGGTACAAGCTGCAACTGAAGATTTGAGAGAAGAAATGTCTCTAGTAATTGCCAATTTAAATATCAGACACAGTAAAGTACGTATTAAATTTATTACATTAATATATATTTATATATATAAATATGCATAGACTCATACGCGGGCGTTCACGCACACATGCACTTACTATTAATAATACTTATTATTAAAACATTTGTTTAAATTATTTGTCATAGTATATTGAACTTAATCAAATGGTAAATCAAGTACAAGATTATCTGTCCAAAACAAGAGAAAATATATGCGAAGTGATACATTGTTTAGAGCTGCAGGTAATTAATTTATGTGCCAAATATATTTTGAAAAATATATATTACACAAGCTGTTTTTATTTTAAAGGATGAGGAAAGAGTTAGACGCAATGAAAGAATAACAAATAATAGGATTAGATTGAAAGATATGAAAAATGAATTTAATCAATCTCAGTCAGAATTATCAAAATACCTTAACAATGTACATAATAATATTCAAGTAAATATCAATCTATAATTATAGTATTTTATCGCCAAAGTTATTGGATTATTAAGATTTTCTTATCTTATTACAGCAAACAAATTTATTAGGTTATGCAGAAATTCACACGTGTAATAATCTACTTATTACTTTAGTAGAGGAAGTGGAACAGATAGTTAATAATTTGCATTACGTTCAAACTCAGGGATGCTGCACACTATCAACAATGAATGAGTTAAGGAAACAACTTACATTCACAGAAAATAATATAAAGGAGCTGAAAAGAAAATCTGATCAAGTAGTTAGTATAAAGTTATTTTTAATAAGAGTTTCTTTCAAAATACATTAATCATAATTCTTTATGTTTAGCTAATAGAGAATGAAGCTGCGGAGATATATTTTCAAGAAAGGTCGAAATACTTTGACAAATATGAATGCGAAGTTGATAATTGTCATACGAAAATGCAAGACATTTTAGAGAGCATAATTTCTATCAGGAATCAGGTTTCTTTATAATTTATATTTTTTAAACTATAGTCTATGGACCTCTGAAATTACAAATTACAAATTACAAATTACAAATTGTATATTGATGCATATTTATTTTAATTACAGTTGAATAAATACGGATGTCTTAAAGAAACTATAGATTCTTTTGAGGTATAAAGATAGATTAGATTAGTTTTAGCTTTATTAATAACAAAATTTAATACAAATACGTTAATTTATTTAGAATACTAATGAGGCGATAAAATTAAAGGATGACTTGAGAAGATTACAAAAAGAATATGATGAATTAAAGCTTAAAACTATACAGGTACGAATGTTCAACGAATTTAACTTTTAACATTAAAAATGTTTAACCAACCATAAAGCTTATTTTTCAAATTAATTTAATTTTCACAGGAATCGCATAATAATGCGCAAGTTAAGGTAGAATCGTCATTGGAAAACAGAGTGATTGAATTACAAGATGAAATTAAACTATTGAAAACTGAGGTACATTCGTGTAATTTAAAAATATAGAAATATTAGCTTATTAATTAACGAGTATGTTGGTTTTAGATTAAATTTAAGCAAGAAGCTAATACATTATTGAAACAAAATATCGAATTATTGGAAAAAGAAATGGATTCTGTTCGCACGAAATCTGAAAATTACCGCAAATGTTCATTATCGGAATGTGTAGAATTAAAAAGAAAACTACTCGAATTTGAAAATTGTGTAAATATTGTTAATATTTTATATCAAATAATTTTCTCAATCTTTCTACATGCTTTGATTTATTTTATTTTAGTTTAAAGGTCAAAAAGACACGGAAAATAATCTTAAATGTTTAGTAAATAATGATACCGATTCAAAAAAATCACAGTTTTTGGATTATGTAGTAAGTACGCATTTTATTTTCTAATATTATTCACTATTTATAATTAAAAATCGCTACTTCATATTATGTCCATTATTATTATCAATAGAATAAAGAACAATTTTACGATAGTACACTACTTGGGTTGCAGACTGAGGTATAAATTATTTTTGTTGCAAATTATATTGATTTAATTTAAATTGTAATGGAATACTACATTTTAGAATATACCACAACTCTTGAAGGCATTGCAAAGCAACATTCAAATAATAAAATGTGGCTTGCAGGAACTTAGCGATGACCTTAAAAAATTGGTAAATTTTTATTTCTATTAATAATGCTGACTAAATACATAACTGCTTATCTATGCAAGTAATAATAAAATTTTAAATTGTAGCTATCCGAGGACTCGTCTCTTACATGTAGCTCTGTTCATTCAATTAAGACAGCGATAGATATTTTAACAAAATACATAAAGTATATCAACTATTGTTCTTCGGAAGTAGAGAAAGTACAAATATGCCTATGCTCAAAAGATAAACTTGTAATTAATATTTATTTTAAATATATGTGTGTGTGTGTGTGTGTGTGTGTGTGTGCGCGCGCGCGCGCGCGCTTACATGTATAATTTATCAATAATTAGAGTATTAAGTAAAATCTTTTTATATTATTTATAGATGGAAAATATGGATGAAATAATAAGGATTCAAAAGGATTCTATCTCAATATCACAATCAGAAGTCGAAAATTTGCAGAAAACATCGCAAGAAAAGGTACAGTTTCAACAGAAAATAATACAATTATGTTCAGTAGTATTGAAATAAAAAAATAGAAAAAAAGAAAAGTATTTTAATTAAAATCTTTAAAGAAACGTTTGTGTTTAATTTTTTACAAACAAGATTAAGAAATAACGAGTATTAATAATAAATATTATCATCATGCATTTATTAATTTTTTAAACAAATTTCTTTTTGTTTCAGATTAATCTGCAAGAGAAAACAATTTTCCAGCACGAGCAAGAAAAAAGACAATTAAATAAGCAGGTCAGTTAATTTATCTTTATGCTAATTTGTCGATGAACTAATTAGTATTATTAGAAATTAATTTGAATTAAGAAAAATAATTTAATAATATATTTCTTGCTTCAATTCATTTAATGCATTCGTATCGATTAATTTCTTTCTCTATTACCTGTACTTCAAATTTACTTTAGACAGCTAAGTTTCAAGATATTATTCTTTTTACTGCAGATCGAACTTCAAGTACAAACGATTAACCATTTGCAAGACGCTGTCGTCGATGCCAAAAGGACCATTGACCAATTGAATAAAAAAGCCGCGAGTGATGTGAGTGAGCAGTGGCGTTCCGTCTCTACTGTTTTTAATCATAGCAACGTGCACGATGTTTAATTTAGAATAGATAACTTGTTGTTTAATGGTTATACTAAAAAAAGAAAAAAGAAAGAAAGAAAGAAAAAAAAAAAAGAAATAGAAAGGAAAAAAGAAACGAGACGAAAAATATTGTCTCTTCATATTATCAGTCTTCTATGAACATTTTAAAGAAAAAAAAAAAAGAAAAAAGAAAAGAAAAAGATCGATTAGATAATTTGTAATTATAAAAGAATTATTAGGGAAAGGGGGTGAAGAATAAAATACGAATGCGTTGAGAGTAAGACAAGTGTGTATGTTGAATATAAATTTTAATTCTATTAAAGATAAATATAAAAAATAGATCTAAATTAGATCTGTGCAACACAATGACAGCTAATTGACAAGCATGATTTTTTCTTCAAATATAATCCCAATTTTCCTTCAACTCCCAGATACATACAATTTTATTGTTTTGTTTTTTGTTTTTTTTTGTTTTTTGTTTTTTGTTTTTATTAATTTCGCGATTTCCAGCTTTTAATTTTTACTAACAAAATACGCAGTGTGCTTTTCGATTCACAACAAATGTCTTCATTTTATAAGTTTTGAGTGCTAAAACCAAGATAGTCATATAATATTTTATACGATTTTTGCGAGTAAGTTATAATTTTTCTTATGATTTATCAGCATTATTTATTGTGATTATGTATTTTCTTTAAATTCTAAAATTACTTTTTAGAATATTAGTAAGAGTCAAATGATACGATCGCTAAATTTATACCTCGACGAGACTGAAATACAATACCATAATTGCTACGGCGAGGTGAGACTAATTTGTGATTAAGTTTAGAAAAAATTTCAATAGCAAACTTCGTTATTTGCAAATTATTCGTCACGTGATTTTAATTTACAGGCAAGTAAACAAAGCGCACTGTTGGAATTACAACGAGATGCCATCGGCAAATTGCAAAAGAAAATAAACTTTTTGGAATACAACAAAATAATCAATGCCTTTATATTGCATTTTATTTATTATATCATATTATTTAAATATCAGGTATGTTAAATCATTTTATAAAGAATAATAATTGACGGATGGTTTCGATTAATTTTTCGTTTTTTCTTCTTCATCTAGTTCCAAGTCAATATATATATATATATATATATATCCACAATTAATCAGTATGTCTAATGAAATTTTAAGAGACATTGTTTTGAAGATAATTATTACTCAATTAAAAAGAAAAACTAGAATATAATGTATGCGTAAATCTTACTTTCTATCTGGACGGAAAATATATTTATAGGTTTAATAGTATATTAATTTACAATTATTATATTCGGTTAATTTTTAAATATTAAAATGTAATTATGTAAATATTTATTAAATAAATTATTATAAACTTGGCTGTGTTTAGTTTAATTTAATAAATTCAAGAAGAACGTTTTATTTTATGGAACATATATGATATATGATATATTATTTCTATGCAAATATATTATTTATTACAGGATTTTAAATATTTTAATATAAACAACAATTTTACTATATACGTTCACTATGGGTGAATTTTATATTTACATAATTGAAAATTTTTTTACTATCATTATAAGAGATTCATTCCTTTTACAGCAGGAGCTCGAAGAACAAAAGCAAAAAATGTTTCATATGAAATTGAAGGTATAATATCAAAAATTCATTTAATCATCAATATTTAATCCCATTGGTATAATATATTTTGTTATTGAATTTATCTTGCAATTGCAGATTAAAGAATTATTGGATTTGAAAAATATTTATGAACAAGACAGTAGCAATGTACAATGCAAATATCAAAAAGTAATTGGAGAAATGAAACAACTTAAGTAAATATATTCTTATAATATTATGTATTTCAAATAATTTTCATTTAGAAAATTAATCAATAAAATTCATATTACCCGAAGGATTAGCTTTCAAGATTCTCAAAGAAAATTACTTTCTGAAAAGCAGACTGAAATAGAAAAATTATTAAATGAAAATAACGACTTCAAAAAGCAATTTCAAGTATATAAATTGGATTTAAATTTAATTCAGGAAGAAATGAGGAAAATGGGAATAACAAAGCCGTCTTTTGGTTGTTTTAAAGCAAAAATAGAAATTATGCGCTCAGAAAATAAGCGTCTGCGCTGCGATATCGAATATTATCAACAGGTAAAAGTCATAAATAAACTATTAGAATAATAAGAAGTCTCGAATGATCTAGTAATGAATAATTTATTCATAATTTTGTGATAATTTCTAAGCAAGAGTTAAATAATAAATAAATAAGCAAATTATTAATTCAATAAATAAAAGTGCACCAAAGATAATTTAACTCATTATATTATATTACTAAATATTCTGTTTTCATTAACATTAATTGTATGCTTTTTTTTTTGTTTATTTGTTTGTTTGTTTGTTTTTTTTTTTTAATAAAAATTGTATATTTTTTATATTACTGTAAGGGGTTAATTTGAATTATTTTTTTCCCCTAACAATAACAAATATTTAGTTAAATTATATTGTATAATAAATGTTTCTATTATTATTAACGATTGTTCAATCATATTAATAATAATTTTAAATTTATGGTTTAGATGATTAGCAATTTGAAATTCGATAATGAATGTTTAAAAATGAAATTACAAGATTTATCGTGTATTAATGGTGAAAATTATAAAGAAGCAAATAATTTTTTGCAATCGGAAATTATTCAAAAACCTGAAAAAATGAATGGTATAACTAATGATTCAGCTACTACAAAACTGAAAGAAGAAAATCAAATTTTGAAGGTAATTTCTTTTTCTTTTCTTTATTACATATAAGATAAAAATTCCAATACTGTTAAAAAAAAAAATTAATACTATGAAATTGCTGAAATACAGATAGTTTAATAGTAAACGAAAAAATAGTTTAACAATATTTTAAAAACAAATAGTTTAATCCATTAGAAAAGTAGTTAATATTTGTTTCTACTTTGATATAAATAACAATTTAATAAAAGTTGCTTCAAAGTAGTGCGCTTCATTTATATTATTTAAATAATTGCCTTTCCAAGAAATTGTTTAAAAAGCTTTACAAAATTTTAACTACATGTTTGTAAATAGTCTGATATATAGAATAATAATAATAAATTAATATTACACGTAAAAGATTATTAGATCGATGAGAAAGAAATGGATAACAAGAATAAAACGTTTTTATAAATTAATTTTTTTGAATATTATTTTCAATGAATTGAAGTGAATCACTAACTAACTATTTTATTGAATTCTTTCGTTGACAGAAGTTAATTCTTTATCAGATTTTCCGTGCATATTTATAAAAGCTATAAACACAGCAGGTATCGCAGTATCGATCTTTATTACGTAACTTCATATGTATCAAATGCATGTCGGTAATTGATAAAGTCAAATGGATAATCAGCATTATGATTTATGTGATACAAGCTGTATTCATTCATTACTATTTGTATTGTTATCATTGGAATAAAGTGTATTAGTATGGCACTTTATGATAGATAAATGTATGACATATGTTAAATAAATTTATTAATTTTATCATTAATTTTAGAGTAAGAAAGCCTATTCTGTATATAAAATATATCTATTGATTATAATTAGTATTGGTATTTTGCTTTTTAAATGATCAAAATATTTTACTCTTTAATTTTTTGTTTCTTTTTTAATCTAGAAAAACAATGACATTTTAAAAGCGCAAATAGATGCACTTGAGCAAGAATCTAAAGATAACAAATACGCTTTAGAACATCAAGTATGTATTTATATGATCGATAATAATTTTTACGATTATTAATAGTAAAGGCCGATAAAAAATTTCATTATTTGTAATAGAATTGTTTGATTGTTTTTTTTATTTTCTTTATTAATTTATATATGCATATTATTAATACTACTCTACCACAAATTTCTATTATTTCATGAATTTTTGAACTTAATTAAGAAGCAAAACTGAAATGCTTATATACCTAATAGAGTTTTGTATTGAAGAAATTTATAATAATTGGTTAATTAATGTGTTTTTATACAATTTTGAAATTTGTCTGCTACTTATTATTAACACGATTTTTTTTTTCGCTCGTACGATTAATAGTTATTTTTTTAATTTCAACTGTTTGCTTAATTCTCTTGACTATGTATTTGTAAAAGAACGAACACGTGTTTTATAGCTGAGCAACACGAAGTATCAATTATTGGAAATTCAACAAAATTATGAGAGAGTTTTGCAAGAATTAAATCGATGTTCGATGGATTTTATTAAAGTATCGGTAAATTAAATAATTTTAATAAACCAAGTTCAAAGATAAATACAACAGTTAATCGTAAAAAAAATATATATATATATTTTTTTCTTTTTTTTTTTTTTTAGGAAACTTGTAATTGCAATCAAACCGATGAAAAAAAAGAATATAAAAAGTTTGAAGAAATTGAGAAAAAATTGATGAAAGATCTTGAAGATGCTAAAGAGAAACTTGAGAAATATGAAATTTATGAGCGTACTGTGAGTATCTTTAATAAATATTTCTTTGGATTTAAAATATACCGAATAATAAATGAATTGATTTTTTAACTTACATATATTTTTCACACTATCAAAGTATTAATAAGGAGTTTATAAAGAATAATTAGGTTGCTATAACATTTTTAAAATCAAAGTCGTAATTACAGTGGTCATTTGGAACAATTAATAGAATTTATTTATATTGTTTGTAGTTAAATTATATTTAATCTTCACTTACATTGTAAATTAATATTAGAATTTAATTTAATTATACTTTTAGAAAGTCACATACCTGCATTAAACATTATCAACTTTATATAAGAAATTTTTTCGTCCTTGCCGTGTTGTGTGTTTTTACTTTTGATAGCTTCAAATGGCAATATTACTGTTTGTAGTGTCAACGTCAGAAAGATGAGATAATGCTATTAAAGAAGAAACTTGTTTCCACCAATCAACAATTAATGAATTGCAATATTACAAAGGAGGAGATGTTACGTCAAAATAAATTATTCGAAGAAAATAACAATAAAAGCATGGCAGAGGTAATATTTATTTATGTAAACTGACAAACATTTTAAGTAATAGCAAAAGGGAAAGGCAATGCATGCAAATTTTGCCATTTTATCAATTTATTTTTCTATACATGATAAGAAAGAGTCATTACCTAAAATAGTTACAAATTATTAAAATAATTAAAAAATTAACAATACAGCAAAATGATAATCGAAACAAATATTAAGTATATTTGCAAACTATTGGTTATCATCAATAATAAGATCAAAATGATGGAACTTGTATTAATTTTTAATCGATAGATGTGAATTTACCAATTTACTTCGAAATTTCAAATATGTAAGTTATAAGTATTCTTACTAGCTTATTATATAAAAAGATTGTTTTAAGATTGTTTATAGATTTTTCTAAAGTATGGTAATATTTATCAATAATACATTCTCATATATTATTTTTATGAAATCCTATTGACAGTTCCATATAAATTCTTCATTAATTTTACTTTAAATTATATCAAATGTTTACTCGTTTTGTTGCAAAAATATAATTATCCATTTTCAAAGATCTGTAAAGTATTGTATGCAATATTACATATTGTTGTTATGAAATATGAAATGTTTGACTATTTATTTCTTTTTCCTTTTAAATGGGAAAAAAAAAATTATTATTACACGAATAAAGATTATTTTACGATTTCAGTAAATATTTATAATTTTTAAACTGCAAATTTATTTTTAAATAATCTAATTTTTATAAATCACAAAACCTAAAATACCTTAAATATTTAAGAAGAATAACAACTTATATATATATATATATATATTTAAATTTATTAATTTTTGAAAGATATTTTCATAATTAAAATATAGATTAATACAGGTATAATTTTTCTTTTTCACTTGATTCAATTAGTTTCTACATAATCGATTTATATAACATTAAAAATCTAAGGATATCAATGAAAATGAATGCAAATAAGCGTTTTATTAGTACACAAGACATTTTATAAGATCTTTTTAAAGTAGTCGTTATGAAATAAACTTTAAAGATGCTTTATCGCCAACTCGATAATTAACGTTAGTCTTAATTAAGAAATTTTGTTTGCTCTTAATACTTGCCATGCGCTGTTAATCGATTGTTCATTTAATTTTCAGCAGTTTATTAGAAAGAATTAATATTGTTATTAATTATTCATAAACATAATAATAACTAATCGCAATAAAGAGTACTGTTTTAAAAAGATAAAAGTAATATTGGTAGATTAAGATCAATAATTAAAAAAAAGTATTACCATTTTTTTACTTTTTATGTGTAGGCAGATGAAAATTTATAGTATAAATTTGCGTTGGGATTGCACAAACGTTAATTGTAATTCTTTTTGTAAAGCCATAAGCGAATGTTCAATATTTTTGTTTGGTTTGGCCATTATGAAATATAAAAACTAATTAATTAAAATTTGCTAGCAAATGCTTCGAATAGCCTTACATATGTTTTATGAACATTTCAATATTGAATTTCTTTGAAATATATCAAACTTCATATTATTTCACACGTTACGGTGAGTCCGCTGACCGTGGTACTTTCAACACATCCACGCTTTTTTTTTTTACAACGCCTTCGTTATTATAAAAAATAGTATCAATATTAAAATGCTGTAGGTGCAACGAAATGCTAAGGCTAGTAGTTGCCGATAAGTCGATTGCTAATTACCGTCATTAACGTACTAATAAGTCGTAGACCCAGATTTAGTCTAGTCTCTTACGAGTTAAAATGCATCGGCAGTTGGAAGACATCGTGGTCCAGCTGGAGGACATGCAGAATTCCCTAACGACATTAAAGACACAGTGCGATATGAAGACTCAGTCTTTAGAGAACATCTCGGTGGAGCTTGCAAATATGAAGAGGAGCAGGACCGAGGGATGCGAGGAGTCGAAGCACGTCCTTAGCTGTGTGAGAATTTGGATTAGGCAGCAGAAACACAGGATAAACGTACTACAAGAGAAGTTATGCGAGAAGCAGCAGCAATTGATGTGCATTAGCTCTGAGAAAAAGTAAGAGCTTATGATGGTTCTTGATTGAAGTCGAGTCTTAACCCAGTTGAGCAATTATTCATTTTAACGTATTTGTTAATTCATTGTTAATAATTCGCTGAGTATAAATTAACAAGCGGCGTTTATTTTTGGGATTTTACACGCGATGGATTCTATCTGTGAATTCACATTCCGAAAGTAAAATCGTTTGCTTTCAATTTATACTGTTTGCGATTTAATTAATATAAATTCCATGCAATTTTTGACCTTGAGCAGGACATAAACTTAAATATAATAAAATTACAATCTTAATCCATTTTTCAAAGCTTATAAATACAGAACATGCATACTTATTTCACAACTGTGACTCTGTGACAACATAAGATTTGAATTAATTTTATATTCATATTTTTTATCATAATGTACTCACCGAATGAATATATTGGAAATTGTCATTATTATGAAATCTTGAAGTTAGTTTTTTTTAATAGTCACACGATAATAGTTGTTTTTTTATTATATTTTAATATTAACAAATAATATTTTCTTATTAATTTAATGTTAATAATTAATGTTCATATGCATTTTAATTAACAATTATAAACTTTTCTTATGAATGATATTTTATTTTTCAATCATTTTATAACTATATATATTAAAAAGTAATTATTTCACCCAAAAGTTTTTATCCTTAAAAATTATATCAAAATTGTATAATTTAAGGTTAAGATTGTTTTAATAACAAAATAAAAAATTAAATTATTTACTTATTTATTGCACAACGAAAAGTACACGTTCAAAAATAGTATTGAGCATGACAAATTTAAAATAAATTTTTATATTTTTCATGTGTGATTTCATTATAAAAATTTACAGTGTTGCTTGACTTAACGACGTATATTATCAATTTAACAAGACATCAAAATCTTAGTCATCTCAATATAAAAAAAAATAATACTATTAAAATTGGATAGTTAAGAAATCTTGTTACAATTTCAAATGACATAGTTTATTATTCAAAGGTATATAAATAAATATATAATTTGTTTATTCTTATATTTCAAATTTATATAGAATTTGCAAATATATTTTTATCTAAAGAAATTTTATTTAAATATATTGCAAAGAAACCTTAACAAGTAATTATTTAAATCAATGCGACGACGTTTTTTTAAAATATAATACATAATTTTTTATAGTATAGATACAAATATTATTAATATTATTATTATTATTATTATTATTATTATTATTATGAATACAAGTATAGTTATTTTGTAAGTGTTACTCGTATGCATGATATTTAACAAAAAATAATTAAGCACAAACTTGTTATTTCATAAAAGTTACATTTTAATGTTAATTTTAAGGGAACTAGGCATTGGTAGATTCGTATTTTATTTTTTTTTTTATATATTATTTTTCTATAAATTGCCCAAATGTTATTGAGTTAGTTAGAATATCTGCTTTTAAAGTCAAAATCTCGTTTCATGTCCTTTCCCTCAAAATTTGTAAGCTAGGATAAAAACAATTTGAAAGTATTTATATTAATTATGCATCCATATATCGTCAAGTATAAAACCCGCGAATTTTTAGAATCTAATACTTAAAAATAACTTTTCGCACAAGAATAATCGCTTTTCTAACACAAATATTATAATTTTTTAGTCTTCATTTTTATCCGTTTGTAAGTATAATTTGACGTATAATTTTTTTTATATAAGAAAAGGTTGAAAAAACATATCAAATAAAAAGAAAAACTTGGAAAAGTGAGATAAGCGTAATTAATATTTAACGATATATAACTGTACACATATATATATATATATATATATATATATATATTGTGTATACATGCATAGACACTCACGCAATTTTTACAATTTTTTTTTAATGAACATAGTATGAATAAACATATAAAGAGTTATCCGTATTAGGTTTTGTATTATTTTGACAGTTGATTAATCAAATTATTAAAAACGACTGCCTAATTTTCTTAAGGTATATTATATGTTCCTCCAGTTTTTATTATTGCAAGCTTAGTGAACTTTATTAATACTAACTTTTAAAGCAAAATGTATGTACTATTTACTAAATAATTTTTATTTATTTTCAACAAACATCACAATTTCATAATTTTTTTTTTTTTTTTTTTTTTTTTTTAATTATTTCATTTATCTTAGTTAAGGCTAAAATAATAATTTGGTGTCAGGGTGTTACTTTTAAAATACGAGATAATCGTTAACTTTCAAATTGATAGAAATATATGGAGTTCTATCGATTATAAAGCCTTAATTATTTTATGATTAAAAATAAAGAAAAAAAAAATTATTTACGTATATTTGATTTTCACATTAATTTATAATTATTCTTATTAAAATTCAATGACATATTAGTATGATTAGTAATTTTATTATGTCAGATCCGATTACTTAAAAATATCTATTCAATAATACGAGTATGTTCAATTATTATTCGTAAATGATCTTTAAATAAACAACTCAATAATAAATAAAATAATATTTAAATAACATTTTATACTTTATTTTTAATTAAAAAAAAAAAAAACTTAATTTTAGAAAATTACTGATTACAATTAAGCGGCTTATACGGGAGAATAAGATACTTACAAAAGGATTAAAGTTCATACGTAGGCAAATGGCTAATAAACAAACAGATGGAGCCGAATGTTTACCTAAACGACAAATTCATAGCTCACATTTCAAACAAAAATATGGTCTTCGTAATGGCTTTCAGTCAATACATTTAAACAACAAGCAGTCAAATGCAATTTATTCTCATTTTAAAAGGGTAAGGCATTTATTATTTTTTACTTTAAAAAAGTATCCACATTACAGTATTGTTTATATTGGCAAGTATACGGCTTGGTTTGTTGAAAAGAATTAAATAAAAAAAAAAAAATTGCATTCGGTATATATCATGTAAGGTGTTGATGTATATGCAAATTCAGAATTCTATTGATTATCCGCGCTGTATCAAATGGTTAAACAAATGGACAAGTGATAATTATTGTAATTTTTTCATTTTCAGGAATGCAGGGAGAAATCGAATTTGTCAAAAGATAAGATTAGAATTCAAGGTGACCATAAGTTATTTTCTGCTTTAGAGTATCTTACAGAAAACATACCAAGGACCTCTCAAATTAAAGAAAATTTTTCAGATTGAAAAAAAAGTACTAAAGAAGATAGATTAGTTTACGGATATCAAATGTCGAGCAGTAAATAAAAGCTCCATTTAAACACGTATTTTTATAATCACATATATCTTATTTAACGATATAGAATTTTTATAGTAATATAACGTACTTGAGTACTTACTAATGACGATTAAGTAACGTCGTATATAATATTAAATTAACTACAGGATATTATATTTGTAATTATATTTTTTATGAGTGAATATAACATAATTTTCTATAAAAAAAAAAAAAAATAAAATAAAAAAATTATATTTGCATTCTGGAATTTTGTAATACGAGCGATTCCTTAGAATATTCCATGTTATGTTTTCGTAGCTTAAATATCAATTTATAGTTCGGAATGTACACTAAACGTACAAGTTCTAATTTTTGAATGTACAGAGACCGAAACATATCGAGTAGCTTATCACATTCAGAAAAATTGAATATCATATCGCTTTCCGGTGGATTCTATAATATTACAAAAATATGTTTATATTATTATACAAATTATTAATTTGTAAATAACTAACCAAAACGGAATGAAGTTCAAGACCATCTTTAAAAAAAGCATAAGTCTCATGAGCCGAGCGCCAAGAATTGGAAAGAAAAAATCGATGAGTAAAATAAAATAAACCTAATATTGACGATATTCCTTTCCCAGAAAAACCGTCGTCTCTGAAATACATAATTTAAATTTATAAGTATATACAAAGGAAAGTAATGAGAAAAAAGAAAAAAGAAGAAGTAGAAAAAAAAACTATCGACCATAGCTCGTAAATAAATTTTTCATAAAAACTGAAATACAAATTTACTTTCAATATACCTCATATATTTAAAAATTTCCCAAGCGAAGCTTAAAAATATTTCTTTATTATTCTTACCCTTGAATAGAACATTATCATCGGGCAATTTTCGTTCTAAAATTAAATAATTAAAATCGAAAGCCTTGTTGTAACGTATATTAATTAATGATTTTAATATACAATTATACCAATAATAGATTTAATTGCATTCTTATCAAACAAATGCTGTCTCATGCACTTCATATCTTCAATCGTAATGAATTTCCAAGTACATAACATTGGCTTCAATAAGACATCATCATACTGTTTGTATGTCGGATGATCTGGTGAAGGCCAAGGTCCGCAAAGATCATCATAATCCACGCTATATTGTATATTAGGTTCTGATGTTGATCGCCTTGGAGATAATAATTGATCTTTTCTAGCCAAATTATACTCGGAGGAAAAAATCCTTTTGACGTCTATAATGCCGTCCTCTAATTCGAGCGATTCTCTACTGATATCTTGAAGGACTTTATTCATACATTGGCACTGCACAGCAACTTTTCTGGACATTATTGACGAAAATGATGGACAATTGCACTTTATTTTAAATTATTATAATGAGCCGTAGACTTAGCGTAGAAACCGCCTGAAGTTGGTCTTGAGAAGAAAAGACATAGTAAAATTCAAGCGCGATTGATCGTTTTTTAATATTCACAAGTTTCTCTCTCTCTCTCTCCACATATAATAATCGTTCGTAATTTATCATGATTTTTCATGAATAAAATTAATATACAATATATTTTAGAGTAAAAGTGTTATACACGATATGATACCTAACAAAGAGAATGCGTAATAATTGTAGCAGCAGGAA